CAATAATCTGACATTAATTGCCCTGAATCATAAATGAGAATACTGAAAAATAAAGCTGGTTGGAAAAGCTTCATTGGAACCATTTTCAGATGCAAAATGCAGTTCTGTCCAAATCAATACTCTTGGCAATATTGTGTCAATTTCACAGAAATCTCATTTTGGTCAAGAGTAAAACAAAAAAAAATTTTTTTGCATTGAAACGTCCCATTTTGACATTTTCAAAATAAAAAATATTTTGATTTTTTGTTTTAATTTTTTTATTTTGCATTGTATTGTATGTTTTAATATGCAGTTTAAAAAGTCATGCTGATTCTGTGGAAATGGAACGAGTGGAAGAAGGGGGTAATAGCAATCAAGATAAATTAGAAGTTATGAAATGAAGTGCAGAAAATTGATAAGGGAAGTTAAGGACACCAGGGAAAACTCCATGGCTGGCAGGGCTGAGAACAATAAAGAGGAGGTTTTTTTCTTTTAAAGTATATTAGAAACTAAATAAATCCTAGCAATGGTATAGGTACGTTAGTAGATGGAGATGGTAAAATTGTTAATGATGTAGCAGAAAAGGCAGAAAGGTTCAATAAATATTTATGTTCTGTATTGGAAAGAAGCAGGACTATGTACTCATCTCACATGAGAATAAAATACTTTCAGTACATTAGCTATGGAGGATGCTAAACAACATCTGCCCGTGATAAACATTTTAAAATCAGCTGGTCCACAAAACTTGCAATCAAGAGTCCTAAAAGAGTTGGCTGAGGATGTGAATAGATGTTAATTTTTAATAAATCTTGGAATACAATGAAAGTTCCAGAAGACTGTTGTGCCAATATTCAGATAGGGTAAATGGGATGACCCAAGTAACTTAAGGCTGGTTAGCCTGACATAAAATGGAAACCTGATACAGGATTCAACTGACAAAGAATTAAAGGACATGAATATAATTAATGCTAGTTAACCTGGTTTTATAGAAAATAGGTCTTGTTAAAAAAACCTGATTTAATTCTTTGATGTGATTACAGGTTTGGATAATAATTAGTAATATATTATGGTAATGTATTGTAATATAATAATGTAATATTTTGTAACTTGTTGATAAACATCTGAATATTTTCAAAGGAAGCAACAGAAATTAAAGTTATCAGCCTAAGTTCCTAGTCAGTCAACTACCTTGAATGATAAGACACAGCTGGCATCATATTTGATTGCATACTGTGTGGCAAAGGAGAAAATGGCCCATACAAGTGCCAAAAAAACTTATTCTTCCAGCATCTCTGGATATGGCACATAAAAGTTTCAATGAGAAGCCTGCTGAAAAATTGAGAAGTATTCCTCTCAGTGATAACACAATGTTTCGGTGAATATGTGATATTGCAGAGCACTTGGAAACCCAGCTTATATTTCAGTTACAGTCAGATGAGGATTTTGCTATATAACGTGACAAGGGTACTGATATTTCAAATTGTGAAACACTGTTAGTTTATATCAGGTATGTATGGCAAGATGACCTTATGGAAGATTTACTGGTTGTCTGACTTTACCAAGAAATACAAGAGGAGCACAGATAGTCGAAGCACTGCATGACTGCATAGTTGGAAAATACAAATTGGACTGGGCTTGTCAAGGTTCCTCCCCGACTCTGAACTCTAGGGTACAGATGTGGGGACCTGCATGAAAAACCTCCTAAGCTTATCTTTACCAGCTTAGGTCAAAACTTCCCCAAGGTACAAAATATTCCACCCTTTGTCCTTGGATTGGCCGCTACCACCACCAAACTAATACTGGTTATTGGGGAAGAGCTGTTTGGACGCGTCTTTCCCCCCAAAATACTTCCCAAAACCTTGCACCCCACTTCCTGGACCAGGTTTGGTAAAAAGCCTCACCAATTTGCCTACGTGACTACAGACCCAGACCCTTGGATCTTAAGAACAATGAACAATCCTCCCAACACTTGCACCCCCCCTTTCCTGGGAAATGTTGGATAAAAAGCCTCACCAATTTGCATAGGTGACCACAGACCCAAACCCTTGGATCTGAGAACAATGAAAAAGCATTCAGTTTTCTTACAAGAAGACTTTTAATAAAAATAGAAGTAAATAGAAATAAAGAAATCCCCCCTGTAAAATCAAGATGGTAGATACCTTACAGGGTAATTAGATTCAAAAACATAGAGAACCCCTCTAGGCAAAACCTTAAGTTACAAAAAAGATACACAGACAGAAATAGTTATTCTATTCAGCACAGTTCTTTTCTCAGCCATTTAAAGAAATCATAATCTAACACATACCTAGCTAGATTACTTACTAAAAGTTCTAAGTCTCCATTCCTGGTCTATCCCCGGCCAAGACAGACTATAGACAGACACACAGACCCTTTGTTTCTCTCCCTCCTCCCAGCTTTTGAAAGTATCTTGTCTCCTCATTGGTCATTTTGGTCAGGTGCCAGCGAGGTTACCTTTAGCTTCTTAACCCTTTACAGGTGAGAGGAGCTTTCCCCTGGCCAGGAGGGATTTCAAAGGGGTTTACCCTTCCCTTTATTTATGACAGGGCTAATTGCAAAGAACTTATAAGTGATGGTGCAGCAACTATAACAGGTAGAAATAACAGAGTTGTGAAAAAACTATCTGAGGCTGCTGGTAATGATCAATGGTCAGTGTTTGGAATCACTATTTTATTTACAGCAAAGCTTTGGCGTCCAAGGGTATGTCCCCTGATCTTATGGCAGTACCGAAGGAAGTAGTGAAAATTGAAGTGTCGTGCTCAGAAATGGGAGTGGAGCATACTCATTTATTGTTTCACACTGAAGTATGGTGGCTGTCAGGGGCAGGGGGCTTGGAAGGGTGTATGAACTCAGGAATGAGATTTCCATTTTTCTGCTCGAGAAACTAACTTGGCAAATTTGTTTGACGATGACTGTTGGTTAATAAAGTTGTCATATCTAGCGGCCATTTTCTCAATTTTAAACCAATCGAATCTGAAATTTACAAGGAAGGGGCAATGATTTATTTCAACCCTGTGAACAGACACAAACTTTCCCAAAGTCAGAAGCACGCTGGCAAGCATGACTGAAAAGTAATTGTCCAAGCTACTACATGTTCCCAACACTGTTACTACACACTGAGGAGAACAGCAACAGGGAAGAAAAAGGGAATGAAATGAAAAGTGTCAGGCAGTTCCATCTTGCTGCGCTGTCTACACTATTTTAGTTGCTATTTCCCTGCAGAGGGGGTTGAAAATTTGAAGGGAAAGTGTTGGGTGAAAGATCCTTTTGCTTTCAAAAATCCTGAATCAATAATGGAGCTAAACTTGATGCCTGAGCAACAAAAATTGCTGCTGCAACTCACCTGTGGTAGCACACTCACAACACACCACCACTCAAGTCATTAAAGTTGTCACAGTTCTGGATAAGTGTTTTCAAAGAATATTCACTGTTAGGTGAGATTAGCGTTCTGTTGTTGCTATGGTTCACAGCAACCTACATGTGTGAACGGGGATTTTCGACTCTGACAAGGTTAAAAACAAAAGAAAGACACTGACGCAACAGCATACCTGGTAGGTGGGGAGCACTTTCATCTTGTGGTCCAGACTGGAAGGAGATCATGACCAAAGGCAAGCCCACCCATCACATTAAGTAACTGAAACTCAACCTGATCATCTTTTTCACTGTATTTAAAAATGTTTTACAAGTAACATCAATGTCTAATTTTAGTTACTACTTGATGTGAAGTGGTTACAGCTAAACATGTATTGCCCTTTATTGTGCTTTTATGAAAACGCTAGTCACAAAAGCGTATTGTTTTGGGTCATGGGGATAAGCGTTTTTCTTCCGCTAGATTGTGAGAAAAAAAGTTAGAAAAGCACTACTCTACAAGCTGTTCTCCTAGCCCAGGAATATCAGAATACAAGATACCCTGATCGTGCTGTGTGCCTCCACAGACACCCCGTCTAGATCTGGGAATAACCCCAGTGTCAGGTCTCATGTCATGTGACCTGCATAGACAATTAAGGACTGTAAATATCTGCATCAATTTGACAGTTAAGGCCAGACTGTCTACTCAAGGAGATGAAAGAGGACAGTATATGGTTTTCCATAGTTGTACTTAAACCGGCTTATACATTCAGAATACATAGCCAAATCATTGGCAGTTGAATAAATGTGGTGAACATTACCTGTGCAGAAGTTTCGACATTAAAATTAATGAACAAATGTATGTTTGTACGTTACAAAATGAAAGAACATACAGTGTCAGAAAAGGTTTTATCTCCTGTATATGTTTTTTTAAAATGTAATAAATACTATACAAATAGCAGTGCTTTAGCCAAGGGAATATTGAAATCCATTAGGAATGCACTTGGAGTAATCTGATTCAACAAGTCAGTATATTTTTCTCAAAATAATAATATCTGTACTACATTGTGTGAGATGAAGGTTAGATTACATTTCTTGCCAGTGCAATAATTCCCACATCATAAATTCTGATGAAATTATATCAATATATAAAGCAAATGGATGTCTGACCCACCATCATTTCCTAGTCTTCAGATGTAGAGGCTGACATACAACTAAATCCCCAGCTGCTTTAAGCAATACTATTACCACAGTGCCTTTGCCTGGGAACTCTTATTAGCTATCTTGACCAGGAGTGGCTGTTAGAGTTTGTGGTTTCTGCTCTGAATATTAAACTTCAGCGTACAAGAGTCCTTATTGTAGGGAACACTTGGAAATGGTAATACTAAATTGCTTTATATTTGCAGGATTTGATTGCTTCAGATGATACAGGCCTAGCTGGTGGGCCTCTCCTACTGCTTGTATTTCCAGATTATAAATCATTCCTTTGACAGGATATCTGCCATAACCAGTTCTCAGTTTCCGTAGAATCCCTCTTCATATTACAGCTGGCAACTGGTATTCTAGGCTGTTCATGTGGATGACACATTTTCCATAATTTATAGGAGTCAGGTCAAAACTTGAAGCCATCACAGGCATCCCAATTTTTATTTCAGATGTCAGTGGACCTCAGGATCTATGGTTTGAAGGTTGGATTGTAAAGAGTGGATTCCACTTTCCCTGGAACATTCAACTGCAGTGTATTCGTTATTGTAAAACCAACCAATCTGAAGTTCTACCAGTTTGGACTTCAAGGAACCACAGTGTAACCAAATAGTGCTCAGTAAATTGTGGGCACTACTGGTAATAAATAATACTAATTATTCATTTATTATCATTGTTGTTGATGTGACATCATGAAATCCTTAAGAAAAGTAAGAAAATCGCAGGCCTTAAATATGATATTGAGAGTCAACTTGCTAATGTGAATTAAAGGCATATGGAGGGTAGTTGTAGCCCTGACAGTCCCAGGATATTAGAGACACAAGGTGGGTGACCTTTCCCAGACCTGAAGAAAAGCTCGAAAGTTTGTCTCTCTCACCAACAGAAGTTGGTCCAATAAAAGACATTACCTCACCTACCTTGTCTCATTAAAAGGCTTAGATAGAAAGAGCTCTACTCATTTAGGATGATTCTTTTAAAACGGAAAAATAATATTCTGGGGAATAGTGACAAAAATCATTAGAATTATGCCTCACTATCCCTTGAAGAATGGGCTTGAAATAAGTAATCAAAAGGAATTATTGGCCCTGATCTTATAATTAAAACTTAGACTATGACAATTAAATACAATTTCAGAGCTTTTAACCATTCTTAACGCAGAGCCCTGAATAATGCTTAGATGTCTCATTATGCCATTATTATATTCATGTCTTCATGTTTCATCTACCTGACCATAATGTCAAAATGATACTGTAGGTGGTTTCCAAGTTTGCCAAATTGTTTGTTCAAGCATCTTATTGTTCCACTAACCTCTCATAAAAGATCAATTCAGGCAGTAACTGGACACACGAAAACAACAAGAGTTTCAGCCAACATTTCATAGTGTCGCCTACCCACAGTCCCTTAGTACTGTGGGTAAGGGAGTTACTCCAGCTTAGCATGCACTTTGGATTTCCAGTCTTGGGCCCTGATTCAAGAAAGTGGCCTGGATTGGCCTCCCTAACTTTCTGACCCTCCTCTTCCCCACAACAATCACACTTCATAACCCTGAGGGATAACTTAAACTACAGTCTGGCTCCAATCAGTTCTTGGATCCTCTCCCTTTGAGAGGGAGCCTAAAGCCCTCTGAGGCTGGAAAATAGCCACAGCCTCTGGATCCTTGGCTTGAAGCAGGGACAAGGGGCCAAAATCAAAAAAGGATTTAAGCACACACTTAACGTTAAATAGGTAAATAGTCCAGTCCCGCTGAAGGGAATTGGGAGGTAAACCATGGCCACTGTTCAAGAGTATCAAATATTTGTGTGTAAAATACACTAGTAACGTTAAATGCCAATTATTTTTTATGGGAAATTTCAATTTTCTTTTGGTCAAAATTTCCAGGGAAATATTTCTGGTTTAAATAAATAAATAAATAAAGTTTATGGTAAAAATGTTTAGTTCTTCCAAACTGTTTTCAGGAGTTCCCCCCGCCCCTCTGTTTTCAGTAAAAACTATGAAAACTGATGGACTTTTTAAAAAAACTGAAAACAGATTTTTTTTTTACCAGATAACTTAGTTTTTCATTGAAAAACCAGAAAATGTCATTGAAAATTAAATTTTTACATGGAAATATTCTTTCAGCAAAAAGCTTTTTTTTTGTCAACATTTACTCTTTAAAGAAAATATATTGACTAGCTCTATAAACTAGGAATATAATGTTCTGCATTTGCAGACACTTATTTCCCTCCCAATGGAGAAATAAGACACACGTAGAGTGTATTTTTTCCCAAACCACTCAGAACCTGTCATGAAAAAGATGCAGAATAATGAGAATGTGATGGGGTGCATGAACTAAGGGTTAAACAGCAGCTCTGGACCCAGATGGCCCAGTCACACCTGCTGGGCATGCTCACTTTGGAGGCTGAGCTCAAAAGGGAGTGGTTCAGAGTCTGGGCGGACAGAGCAGGGGAGGATCTGTGCACTGCAAGCTCCGGCAGAGAAGTTGCCAGGGCTCCATGAAGCTGAGACCAGGCCCCATTGCCAAGCCACCACAGACCCTTCAAGAGGCTGGGAATGATGGACCACAACGGATAGAGGAAGACCCTTTGGTGTGCATTCAAAGAGAACTCTAGGGGGAATCTCAAACCGGACCAGTGGCACTGAAGAAGGAACCAAAGCCAGGGTAGGAAGTGGCCCAGGGAACAGGCATAAGGATGCCTGCCCGTAGGCCACATATCAGCACTCTTATTCACATGATCTTGGCTTGAAGCACGGAGGGCCTGGGTTCCCCTACTCCTGGCCACTAAGTCTCACCACTGGTCAATATAGCCACTGACTCTCCCCACTGGGTGTTACAACCCAGATCACCACCATGAGGCAGTGCTGCCAGGTTCGGACACATAGACAAATAATTTGGGCTGAGTCAACAATGCATAAGTTAAGGGAAAAAATCTGAAAACATGGGTGCACTAATTAGACTAGAGTAGGCCTTTATTAATTTCAATGCCAGTAATCCTCATACTGCATAATTCACACACAACCCCGAGTAATCTCGCTTAAAATCTCAGCAAAGATTTAAAAGCAAAATATTAAGGTAAGGTTTCTTGTTACCAGGATTTATAACATTTCAAAGCATACTACAGAGCATTAACTAGTATGCCAAGAAGCCTAGTAAGGAATAATTGAAACTAAACTACACCTGTCAAAGAAATTGGTAAAGTTTATTTGTGATGCAGTATCACTTATTTGCTTATCTGGTAGTGCAGAGTTCTGTAATTCCCGTCACTCTTTAAAAGCAATTAGACATATTCTATTGTTCCAAGGAAGGTCAGTCTCACATCGACAGCAGACCGTTCAAGTTGGTGCTTATTTTGACAGCATTATAAAGGCCATACCATGGCACGAATGAATCATTCTGAGATAGGGCAATTTATCTATTGCAATAGGCACATATATGTCTATCTTCTGCATCTGGTAGGCATATAAGCACCTGATCCTGCAGCCATTACTAATTTAAGGCCTGGCTCGTGCATAGTATGGAACTGTTTGTGATTGTTAAATACTAGTTGCATGAGTATCTGTTGGAATCTGCAAAACTGTGCCCATTCTTACTGTGAGTAAAATTCACCCCATCAGAGGGTCAAGCACAAGGCTCTGTGCTAAGTCCCACTTCAGGGCCTAAATGAGACTTAAGGGATACATAGCACCTGTGCTGATCCTCAGCTCAGAAGTGAATTTCTCCTTCTATCTAATGCAAAGAAAATCTCACCCTTGTGTATCTGAGTTTCAGTGAGTACTTATAAGATAGCAATCGATCAGAATCTTATGTGGCTCTCATTTCAAGGTGCTAAGTGCATGCTTATAAAATGATGTTTATTTTTTAAAAACCCTGTAAATAAATGACTAAGAGGTTGTATATAGAGGCAGAATAAAGAATAAAGGTTATCTCAGTAGTCAATAATAATTACATTAAATATTATGTAACAACTATTTCTGACATAGTTATTCCTTATGAACCATGATATCTTCTTAAAATGGGAGCTTCTATAGTGCTGTGGGCTGATGGTTAGAGAAGAGGATAAAGAACGGGGATTCTTGGGTCCTTTAATGACTTGCTGTGGGACCTTGCATAAATCACTTAGGGTGGAATTTTCAGAAGTGGTTAGGAAGCATGAGAAGAGGGTTTTGCTCTCTTAAAGCCCCTAGGCTTTTTTTGAAAAATCTCTCCCATAAATCCCATTGAAAGTCAAAAGCGAAAATTAGCAGGACTTGTGCCTCTAAGTCATGTAGGTTCTTTTGAAAATCCCACCTATAACTTCTTTGTACTGCAGTTTCACCCATCTGAGAAGTGGGCCTAATGAAATTTACTTAACATACAGAGGTGATTGCCACAAGCTGGGACTGGATGACAGGGAATGCATCACTCGATAATTGCCCCGTTCTGATCATTCCTGCTGAAGCAGCTGGCACCGGCCACTGTTGGAAGACAGAATACTGGGCTAGATAGACAATTGGTCTGACCCAGTATGGCCATTCTTATGTTCTTAAGTCTATGAGGCTTCTGATGAATTGGGCTAAGGTTTTCAAAACTGACTAAGAATTTCAGGTGTCTAATTTGAGGCATCTTAAATGGACCTGATTTTCAGAGGGTGGATGCTCAGCACTTTCTGAAAATCAGGTCCCATTAAGGTGTCTCAAGTTGGGCACCCAAAATCATTAGTCACTATGGCCTTAATGTTTATAAATTCTCTTGGGCTATGTGGAGGAAAGGCGGAATGTACATTCAAAGTATTATTGTAATGTACAAGTCATTCACTCAATAGGTTGTAGCAAGAGACATGCATGCCATTTAGTAAATCCACCTGCTAAAAATCCTTTCGATTTTCAGCAGATAATCTACAGCTCATTTCTTGTAATTGACTTGTCTCATCTCTAGTTCCAAAGCATTTTTTTCCCAAGAGCCTTGACCCTTCAGTGACCTCATTTAGATACTCCAGGAGCCTTGGCAGATGCTAGGGAGTGCCACCTGCCTGTGACTGAGATGCATTTGGCTCATGCTGAGGTCAACTAGCTTTGCTGTCCTTATATTTTGGGTCACTTCCTAAGATCAAAAACTTGAGAGAGGAAACAAACTTGGGGAGAGCTGCATTTGCAGCTGTAAGAATAGATTTAAGAAATACAGGTTACAGAAAGAGCAGCTGATATTTGTAAATAACTATAGAGTTCTTTAGTGAGTCAATGGTAAATAAACCATTAGGTAAAGGTATCCTACCCTGTTTGCAGGTTGTTTCAGAGCATCTGCTTTTTAACATGCATGTAATGTTGTTCCTCAAAATAGTCAAGAGGTCTAAAAGCATGGCAATCTATGTCCTTTTCATTCGGTTAGCCTGAAATAAAAAAAACACTGTTTGTTCATAACAAACGTAGAACTATAAAAACACACATGAGAACATCCCAACTTCACCTGACTTACAGTTGTCTAAAAATAAATCCTCTTGGTAGATGGTGATATTTCAGGAAATTAATTTTGTTCATCTGGGACAGGATATGAACTAATTGCTTATTTAATCATATTCATAATTAAACTGGTTACAACAATGATTCACTGATTAGTTCCTTTAATTACATAGCCAGGCCATTTTTATTTGTTCCTTATGTTTCTTTCCTTTAGGCTAACGATGCTTTCT